AGCGCCGACGCGAAGCTGGTGCAGCTGAAGGTAGTTGGCGCCAATCGAGCGCAGCGTGCCCGCCGTGCGCTTGTCGTTGAGGCCGTACGCATCGCGCTCGAGGTCCAGCGTCTCCAAATTCACGGCCAAGGACCCGCTCGGGTCGTTGTTGACGGCCAGTGCCGTCGCAAAGCGCAGTCGGGTTTGAAGCGTGGTCGCATGCGCCGGGCCAAAAAAACGGGCTTGCGCCGATAGTGTCGCCTCAAAGCACGGCGCCCACTCGCTCCGTGGTTTGCGCTGCGAAGCCATCGCCGCGCCCAGAGCCGACTGCGCCACGAGCGTCTCGAGATCGTTGGGACCACTGGCTTGCGTGAACAAGTCGATGGCGTGATGGAAGCAGCGCTCGCTCTCGGCCGGGTTGGTCTCACTCATGTGGATACCGCCGAGGTGGAGCCATCGCGCTGCCTTCTTGACGAGCGACGGCGTCGACGCGATGGAAGCCTCGAGCGTCGTCTTGATCCAGTTGGACAACGTCGAAAAGATGAGCCGGTCGACGGCTGCAAACGATGTCTCGGCGCGAATCAAATCGAAAATACCGTCGCGGTCACTGGGCACCGTTGTCTCCGAGTCCTCGCTCTTGATCGTCGAGAGCATCCTGTAAAAGGCGCCATCGTCTGCGATGTCGTCGAGAAACGTGGCTTCTTGATCCTGCGCAAGTGCAATCTCAAAGCGCGCGCCCAGCGTCACAGCCACGTAGACCTCAAAGACGCACCAGCTTCGCCGAAGCACGATCGGGTCGTTCCACGGGTGCATGATCATGACCACGTTGCCGATGGCTGCGAGACCGTTCTTGAAGGTTGAAGACCAGCTCGCAAACGACTGCGTCGCAGCGAGGTGTTGGTTGTTGTTGAAGACACAAAACCACAGGACCGCGTCGTCCGAGAGACCGCGGTCGGCGAAGAAGCGCTCGAGGCTGTCGACGGTCTCCAAGAAGAGGTACTGCCAGGCGTGCGAGACGTACCAGTTGGCTGGCGCGACGTAATCGGCGGTCGCTGGATCGTTGGCGACGTGGTCGACGAGCGAGAGCTGCGACGCCACCGTGAGCGGCACGACAAACTCAAAGCAGACTTGGGCTGTCGTCATGCCGGCAAAGCGGGCCTCGCCGCCGTGGCTGTTGATAAAGTGGCGCAGGTACGAGAGGCGGAGGCCGCGGGTCAGCGCTGTCGTTGGTGATGCCATTGAACGCTTCCAGGCACGCAACGAATGTGGGAGTAGCGCCTTTACAAATGTCAAGTGCACTTTGGTCGTTTTAGCCAGTACATATACAAACAACATTACACACTTAAAAAACGCAACCATTCGAACCGGACGTTTAGCTCGTGAGCTTGGAGTTCAAGACAGGCGCGCCATCGAGCAACTTGAGAGACTACCGGTAGTTATACAGGATAGCAGTACGTAGACTTGTGTGCGCGGGGCTCACAGCTTCGATGTTAACCGCGGCTAAAACTAATAGACATGGTCATTCCCTCCTTTGGCGGAACGTGGTGCTCGCACGTAAAAAAAGTTGGGCGTTAAGGGGTTAAAGGCAGCCTCGACGTCGCTGAACGCCGCATCAACCATCGTCTCTCGCGCGTTCTTCAAGAAGAACCGACGAGGCAGTGGCGTTCGCGTCAAATTCGAAGTCTTTTTAGCATGCGCGCACTGCGTCTGAAGGCGCATCTCGTTCCAAGCACGGTGGGAATACTCCTGCAAGCCGCCTGAACACGCCATGAGGCAGCCGACGATCGACTTGCTTCAAACGACGCAGCTGGCGTGCCAGACCTCGGGTCTGCATCCAGCGTCGAGTCGATGTAGTGCTGGACGCGCGCGAGGCCTTCTAGTACCGCGTTCGATTGATAAATAGAAAGAAGCCGGTGAAAGAGGCCAAGACACCACATATACGTAAAAGTGTACCCTTGAGTTCCCTCGGTATAAATTATGTCTCTTATTGTGACCCGCCATTCGCGCAATCCATTTTATCCCAGTTGCATGCTTCATGGAGGCAGTTAGCTTGGCAAATGCGGTCACCATGCTCAAAATTGGAGCACGAGTCGGCGCACACGGCCTGGCAGCCTTTGAGTGGTCGTGCCCCGGTGCACGCCGGCGTTCCATCGGCGAGGACCCGGCGCGTCGCGATCGCAGCCATCATGCCGTCGGTGGGCGGCTCTGAAATCGGATTGTTGCTGATATCGATCACCTCGACTTGCTTGGCCGCAGCGAGCGTCCTTGGATATGCCGTGAGTGCGTTCTGGGCTGCCTCGATGTGTGTTAACACGGGAAGCGTCGCGAGGGTCGCTTCGGGGAGCTCTGTAAAC